TTCTTTAGCCTCTTTAAGACTTAGTTCTGTCTTTTTAAACTAAGAGAATAAGCTTCGGCACAAGATTGTTAAGTCAACGAGATGTAACAGATGTCAAAGTATCTAGCACATGCAGTGTCTATGTATTTGCATGTCTTTCTCCTGGGTCCTCCTAGCTAATTCCACAAGGCAGAACCATTCATTTGAGCTGCAGCCACCAACCTAGCCTGGCCTTGTTCAGCCCCCTTGGAAATATTAGGGTATGGGGAAAACAGACAATGTGGGAGTTCATAGCTCTTGCTCCTCCTCCCTTTCCAATCCACCGCAACCCTCCACACCCATTCCTGCTCATCTAGCTCCTGGGTCCCTCCTCCCATAAGCTTCCCTTTTCCACATCCTGAGCTGTTCCTCTTCACTGGGCCTCGGGAAATGGGCCCAGTCCAATAAGCAGCAGCCAGTCATTTGTCTGGAAAGATGCCCATGTTGCCAGCTGTCCCCAGACATGCCCACGCAGACACTGGCACAGAAGGCAGAGAACCAGCCAGGCCCCAGCTAGGGAACTTCTGGACATTTGGTGGCTCAGAAATGTCATGAACAAGCTGTTCACAGCTGTCCTGATGGAGGAGCTGACAGAAGGAGGAGCAGCTGATGGTTTGAAACTCCGTAGTCTTGGATTGTACCAGAGCTGCCTCAACAAACCTGGGGCCACCTGCCTCCCAGCCTCCTCTCTGGGAAAGTTTCCTAGCACGCTAAGCTCCTGTTGGCTGGAGCCACATGGTACCAGTGCAGAGACAAAGACTGCCACATCCACCAAGTCAAAAGCTACCTTGCCTCCCAGTAGGAAGGAGTTCCTTCTGCCACAGAAATTCACCAGCACCCAGCAAATACCAAGTATGCTAGGCACTGGGCTAAGTGTTTTACATAGTTTCTCAATTAATTTCACCCAAGCCTTGTACTATCGGTACATCACTATTTGCCTTTTATAGTTAAGGAAATGCAGCCTTAAGTGCTGGAGATTAAGTGATTTATCTAAGGGCAAATAAAGGCCATGTGACCTTTTTCCATGCCACACTTAAGAGCAATGGGAAGACCATGGACGTAGGGGTAAACCTAACCTGGATCCAACTGCAGTTCAGTTATTTACCAGCTACATGATGCTGGACAGACTGTGTAACTTCTCTGTGCCCCATTTTACCCATGTGTTCCATGGAGAAACTAACACCTTGTAGTTCTACAAAAATCACAAATTAACAATGCTTGGCACAGTAGGAAGAGTGAATAGAATAATAGCCAATAATTAGTGCTTACTCACTGCTCAGTATAAGCCTGGCATCAATCTAAATACTAATTACATGTAGTACTTCATTGAAATCTCAAAATAACCTTATGAATTATATTGTTATTATCATTGCTGTTTTCTCAGATGAGTCTAAGGCCCAAGGCCAATCCACCCTCCAGCTTGTTACTCTGTGATCTTCATTTCTGTTTAAATGCCTTCTTTAAGAAATAAATTTGACAGACTTCATTTCTAATTTTATTTCAGCCTAGAAGTCTTTATCTTGTTCATTTCTACCCCAGCCTGTGTTTTGTTTATCGCAGGAAAAATGAATTGGATTACCATCCATCTTAACGATATCATCAGTAATAATGATAGCAAGACATCATTTATTGCGTGCTTCCTGTATTCTGAGCAATTCATGCTGATAATCACTAACACCTTCTGTGTTAGACATGCTTAAAGAGGCAACTTTCTTTAAAAATCAACTCCACTGACCTCTAAAACACATGGTGTATATGAAACATCACCTTTTGGCACTTGACATGTATAGCAGTGCTTTAAAACTGGTGACTTGGGCTGAGGATGTAGCTCAGTGGTACAGCACTTGCCCAGCATGCATGAGTCCTTGGGTTTGATCCTCAGCATCACACACAATCAAAAAAATTAAATAAAATTTAAAAATATAACTGCTGATTTATGTATAAACCCTCTTTTGAACTCTACCCTTAGTCCCAAGAAGGTAGAACCATGTTTTCATCACCTCTGAAGGCCTCAGAGGTCAGCACAATGCACCTGTAGCACAACTACATCTCGTTTGGTGCTTGAGTGTATCCAAACCCATGTTCACGAGGAAGGAAGGAGGGAAACACTAATCAAGTACTCTACATCAGCCAGGAGAGGTGAAACATGTTACCATACTTATCGACAAAACCCATGTTTTTTTACTGATGAGGAAACTGCAGCTCTGAAAAATTAACTACAAGCACACACTGGTGAAAAAAATTCCAATCTAGGTCTGTCTTAAATCGCAGAGATGTTGAATACAGTAGCTGAATTCATACTTTAAAATGTTCAAGTGACATGTGGCTATAGAAAGCTGTGTTATGTGTAGAGTATTTCTGAGTTCTTTTAAAATGCTATTGTGGGATAGATTGTTTATAATGATTCATTCTCCACACTCCCAGTTTTATCTGAGATATGAGTTATTTTGGTTAAATGATATAATTGATACTCATAAATTAGACTCTACTAGAAGAATAGTAGCAGAGGTACAAATTCGTATAAATGGTGATGAGATGTGTTTTTGTTTAAGGAGGAAAAAAGAGCAGCTTTATTGTAAAGCAGAATGATTGATTGTTCCAGAATAACATGGAGGACAGTGAAAGACAAAATCCGAATAGATAAATTTGTAGAAGATTTGTGGAATGGGAATTTAATTTGTCTTGGGTTGTGGGAGGTATAAATAATTGAATTTGAAAAGAAGCAATTAAGTGTTAAAATTTTGCTAAAGCTGACTCAATTTTGATGAGTTTATTCATTTCAGAAAGAGGGCTCCTAGAAAATTGCAAAGATTTATTATTTCACCTTTTTAAAAAAAAGGGGCCGGGGATTTAGCTCAGTAGTTTCGCTGCCTGCTGCGCAAGCGCAAGGACCTGAGTTAGATCCCCAGTACCAAAAAAAAAAAAGAAGTGCTAAATATATTTCGGTTTATTTGATGTTGATCAATCACATGGGTATAGTTGTCAGATCAGAGATGCTCACCTTTCTCTCCATCAAACTTATGTAGATAAAATGTTAATATTTATAGAAATGTTTCAGAATATGCTGCAGGAAAAGTTTTGCAGATATCTCAGTGCCCTCATTGTCCAGTGTTTCTATTCATCAGCATCCTAGTGGTTCTTTGTCTGATGAAAACTACAGTGGTCCACGCATGATTTCATTATGACTTAAAATGTTACCTGGGCCATAAATTTACTTCTGTAATTTGAATCTAGTATCTTCCAAGCTCTTGGTTTGCACCTGAAATGTCCAGTTTTATTAAAATACAGATGTTTAGGGACTTATTCCAAACCTACTGAATCTCTTTAGTTGATATTCTTAGTATATTAGGTAAATTATGTGTTAGGGTTTTCATATATCTTTAGATGTTTTTCCTCTGTAAAAATTATGTTCATTCATTTTTATTGGTTCATATAATGTTCCTTATCTTCTTTGAAATTAGCTTTATTATGTTTTTAGACATTATTTAGATTTTTGGTGGTATTTGCATTAGCTTCTTGTTTTGCAAACTACAGGAGCAAACAAATTTCCTTGTCAGTTGCATTACTGTCAGGAATTCTCATCAGATCATTTACTTCTGAAAATCACTGATAATAAGTTAGCCATCAGTTTTTAAGCTTCTGTCATCTATAGATACTTTTTGTCTTGCTCTGATGCTTCTTAACAGCTCTGCAATAACCATCAGTCAAAAGTCTTATCCTTAACAACTGTCTCAGAAAAGCACCGTACCAAGCATTTACTCTTGGGTACAGGCTTCCGGTGGCACTACTAGGACAACTTTAAGAATATACTGGTGGATTGAGTTAGAAGTTCCAGGGCTCTTTGGAAAAGCAATGGCTGGGTCTGTGAGATTGCAAACCCTACATTCGGTGGAATAGAATATATCACATAGGACTGAATGAACTGATGGGAGAGAGAAATGACTGAAATACTGGTACAGTGTTCCATTTTGTGGATATAAGAAAGACCTTTCACTTTCTTAGGTGATCTAACATAACAATTTAGTAGAACCAATTCAAAACTTGTATTAAGTCTTCTTGATTTTCATGTCAATATGGCTATTTGCAAAGATTCAATAAAAATCTGTTCTCTTTTTTTTTTTTTTTTTTTCCCAACCAGGACATAATTAGAAAAAGTGGTTATGAAACCAACGCCTTGCCTGGAATGTTGTATTTCACAAGGATACCCATTTAATTGGATATAACCAGCTCCTTTAAAGGCACTAAGGTTCATTGTATGGAGCCAATACTAATAAAACACTCCGAAGAAAAGTGGCTTACTGGGTTCCCAGACTTACAGGTGAAAAGTAACTTGTTTTTGGCTGGCCCAGGGACCTCAGGACATTTTGGGGTCCTTGAGAAGAGAGGAGTCAGCCCAATTTTATATATACAGCATGTAAAACCTGGCGAAGACAGTTTCTTGGCTTGGCTTTCTAATCTCAGGACAAAAAATAATAAAAGGCTTAAAAAGAAAACCCAATCTAGGATTTCTTATGAAAACTTCCAGCAAAGCAAAGTTAATGTCACCTACCTAGTTAACTACTACTCGTACCTAGGCAAATAATGTGATCAGTCTTATGAGACCCCTGGCCTCGGTCTCTCCAGACAGCAAGTCCATATCTCAAGGTGCTCAGGGATATGAAACTGAGGCCTCTCAAGGTGCGCGAGTGCGGCCGAGTGTTTGGAGGTGAGGATGGTAAACGAAAAGGGCGGCGACTCCCAGGCAGTCTATTCCCCACCAGTGTCTCAGAGAAGTCTGAATGCCGAATTAGGTAGGGTTCGTGTGTTAGCAAACTTCCAGGCCGCTGCCATCCAAGTGTTTGGGGCCACATCCTGCCAGAACGAGTCCGTGCCGCCCCGGGACACTGGCCGACCTGGTCTGGCCTCCGAGGCTTCCCCGCCGCCCGGCACATCCTGACACGAACGGCCTCCCCCCCGCCCCCCCGCCCCCCAGCCCTGCTCACCAGCTGTCCCTGGAGAAGTTGCGGAGGAACCAGACACCCGGTGCTAGGGAAGACCGCATCTTGCCCAGTCGGCACTTGGAGCCCAGACGACTGAGAAGAGCACAGAGCCGGTACGCGTCCCAGGCGGCCGGCAGCGGGGTTTAAATGCCCCGCCGCCCCGGCACGCCCCGGTCGCGCTGCCCAGGCCCCAGCCCCCGCCTCCTGGCATCTGACCGCCCTCGGGTCGGATCGGGTGCAGACCGCCAGGGATGGTTTGACCCGCTCGCCAGCACCGGGTTCTCGCGCTTTGGCTGCCGGCTGGCGACTCACAACCCTGAGTTTCCGGGGCCTCCTCGTTAGGTCACGCACTTTTCCTCACTATGGGCAGAGGAACCGAAAACAGCAATCCCAGATGCTATCTGCCCTTTGTGACGGTCCGCCTGCCGGCTGCTGTCCTCACAGCCCTTCCTATCCCGACCTAGATGGCACGCTGGAGGTTGACATGTGACATCCAGGGACTCCCACATTTTACTGATCTGAATGCGGGCTCCCCGGGGAGCCCAGGTTTTTCAGGGAGGGAAAATATTTGGCCGCAAACCCAGACTTAAGCTTCCTGCCCCGCTTTGACTCCAGACAACTTACTGAGCCAGCCAAGGATGCCCCAGTCCCAGCCCCCTGCTCCCCGCAGTGACAGCACCGCAGTCCCCTCTGCCCTCCCTCCTGGAGGCAAGCAGCTAGGCGGCAGTGAAGAGCTAGATACCAGGAAGGGACCTGGGTGCTCATAAAAGTGACTTCGTGTCTAGCATGAAGATTTCAGGGTGGGATTCCACTTATAAAAGTATGTGGTGAGATTCTTGTATATGGGCCCAAGGTCAAACCACAGAGGGGTGGAAAGTAAACTTGTTAATAGTGTATAATATAGGAATGTATCTGTGCAAATAGGTGTCAGCCTTGACCCCACCCTGCCCCTAACTCCTAGGAGTGCCCAGGCCTGAGAACAAGGACAGGGAAGTGAAGCAACAGCTTCACTGTGAGGACCTAGAATAATGGGCTTGGCTGGTACCAACCCTGGAATTAAGCTAAAAAAGGGTAGGCGGAGTTGTAAAATCTTTAGTTAATGCCAGCTATTGGGTGAATGGGTCTGGTGCCAAAAATAGAGGGCAACAAGTCAAGGACAGGGGTAAGGAAAAGAGGAAGAAGAAAGTCAGTGGACAGGAGACAAGAGCACCAGGTTACATAAGGTATAGAGTGGTGGAACAGCAAAGGCAGAGTATTGGCTCTCTTCATCAGGTCTTTAACTGTAACGTACACTGTGCCCAGATGCATATACATTTAATTCTTAGAAGTCAGAGAGATATTATCCAAATGGGTGGCATGACTTTATGTTCTGGTTTGATTGAGGCAATACCAGGAGACACCCATTGACCAAGAATGGTGATGAACCGCTCTGGGGTGAGTAACCCCAGGTATCCCCCATTAGAGGATAGAAAATACACTTGAGAGAGCTGGCCTCCCAGCATGACAGCTCCTTTTTCAAAGGGACTAAAAGGGAAGATCAGGTTGGAATACACATGAGCCAGGGAAGCTATTGTAGTTTACTTGATGCTACACAAAGCAGGTGGACATCACCAGAGGATGGGAAGCAACCACTCCAGGCTTTTGGTGGTGCTATTCAGGCTTCACTATTGTGTAGTGTGGGTCTTTCCATTTTAGACAAAGAAGCCAAGGAGTGAGGGTCACTACTGCCTGATCTCCATGCCCCTCTGGAGAAGCTGTGTCCATGTCCATGTCTCTCAGAGGACCATGCTTGCCTGGCACTGCAGCTCCAAGAGACAGTAAGCAGATTCGCCATGGTGGTATGGCTGTTATTCACCACATGCCAACAAGTAGCCGGGAGCAGGGCCAGTCCTGAAACAGTCCTTGCTTTGTCCAGTTCCTTCCTGTGGATTCCAGCCAGGTATCCCTGTTCAGGGCCAGGATGGCAGCTGGGACGCGTCTACCCACATTGGAACACTTTCTCACTTGCTCTGGATGAGCTGGAGGGTCTCTCTGCTTCATGCTTCTTGGGGGAGTATATCATGGTTCAGGTGTTTGTTTCACTCACTGATTCCATCTCTCACTTTTGATTCACCTTTCTCCTATCTGGCATCCCTCTGCACCACCTTCTTAAACTCTGGGGGGATATGGACAGTACCTGAGAGAAATGAGGTGGGAAAGAAAGGGCTACTGCATCAGAGACTAAAGGGAAAGGTCCGCAGGTCATAACATTGTTCTGTAATTTGTCATTCTATAATGCTTACCATAATAGTTTAGAACGAGACATGTGAGAAGGAAGGCTGGAAGTCAATGGCCTTTTTACCCTTCAAATACCAGTTCCTACTGCTAGCAAGTTTCACTTTCACAACAGGACTTTTTGGGTAGTCAGTTAGGTGTGTAGGCCTTTTTACACATGACAGCAAGCAGCCTCCTTGATTTTTATTTTTACAAAGGAACAAAAGGAGCCAAATGGTTAAGAAAGTCTATGAGAACAAATGCTGTGAGAAAAAGTCAGTAACAGACCCCTAAACCTCACCACACACATGAGCATCAATCTTTGGGCACATTTCCCTCTTCCCATTTCTGCCTTACAAAATAGAAAATAGCATAATTTTTGTGTGTGTGGTAGAAAGACCCAGAGCCTTAATTGAAGAGGTAGGAGTTGTGATATTAGGAGAAATTTAGGTCATTCAATATTTTAGATTCAATTTTATATTAGGGCTTTTTTGTTGAGCAGAGTCATGCACTGAGATGAACAGAGCCAGTTCTAGCTCAGACTTATTATTTCTCTGAACCTCACTTCCCTTGTCTGTGAAATGTGAATAATAGTATCTGCCTTGCAGAGTGGATGTAAGAATTAAAACTCATGCTTATGAAAAAAAAGTGCCAAAGTGCTTGGTCCTATTAAGTTGGTTTAGTAAGCAGAGTAATTATTTTGTATGCATATAGTATTAAGATCAGATATTGACTACAACTGAGAAAAACGAATGGTCATAATAAATGAAAAAAAAATACAGGTGCCAAAGAATCAGAGTCATTAAAGAGTTAATGGGCACAACAGAATAGGGATCAAAGGATCAGAGTCCTTAAAAATCAATGGGTATAACAGAATGGGCATAGGGTCAAAGGATCACTGTCCTTCTATAAAGAGTCAATGGGTTTAACAGATCAGGTATGATTGACAAAATCCAATATTGAATGTTTATGTGTGTGTGTACAACTTAACTCCGTGATTATTATAAGCACCATAATAACACATGCTGAATAATTTGGTCTCGATAAGGATGTGTAGGTTGAGTAAAGTATCAGGAAAATGAAAGAAGCTGTTATTATCTTAAATGTCAGATGCTGGAATCTCACTAAGAAGAGTTACTGTTAAATTTCTCCCAGCCAACTTAGTCAAAAGATAAGCAAGGTGACCATGTATCTAAAAGGATTTTGTTTCAACAAAAGCTAAAATTCTCCTATGTTTGACAAACAGTCCCTGCACTGATATAACTAGTCAAAAATAGAGGCTTTGCTTTATGGGAGACTGAATTGATGGTTAATAATGGGCTGAAGAATGAATGTTAGTGATCTCTCAGCCAATCACCAGGGCAGCCCTGCTCTTGGATGTTCAGCTTGCTTAAGATATCAGCAGCAGGTGTATAAGAGGACAATCTGAAAGCAGGCAGTCCTTGAGGAAGGGAGGAAGAAGATGGGGAACAATGTTTAAAATTATTCAAATTTCCAAGAGTCATCTTGTTTAGCAGAAAAGTAAAAAAAGGAATATATGAAAGTAGGGTAGCCACAGGTAGCCTGGTCACACAAGCTGGAGATTTTGGGTTGTATTTTCGTCTGAAAGCAATAACTCATTCATTTACTCATGTAATAAACATTTGTTGGGTGTCAGCTTTTTGTTAGGCACAGTGCTAGTGCTGACAATACATTGATGGATGAAACAGGCAGAGTCCCTGATCTCAAAGAATTTGCAGTTGCATGGGACCAAGATGTGTAAAGACAAATTCCACCTCAAAGTGCAGGGGGGAAGGAATGAACAGAAACAAGAAATAGGTGACAGAGGAATGCTCATATTACTATGGCGGCACTGAGAAGGGATCAGTGGGTCTGGGAAAGCCTCAGAAGGCTTCACAGTAGGTAGTATAAAAGAGGAGGAGAAAGGTGGGTCCCACTGAGTACATATGCACAGCATGTGCAAAACAACACACACAGGGAAAAGCATAACACTGAAGAAATGATGAAGGGGCCATGAGTACATGCGCATGCTAGAGAGCCGCAGAAAGTATGGCTGTTATCACTGGTGGTGTGATAGTGAAGAGCCATAAATATCCATGTTAAGGGGTTGGAATTTTATCCATTGTACAGTATAATGTTATGACAAGGTGACATGATCAGGTTTATGTATTTTGTGGTTTTTTTGAGACAGGGTCTTACTCTGTAGTCCTGGCTGGCCTTTAACTCACCATGCAGCCCAGACTGGCCCATCTTCCTGTATCAGCTTCCCAAGCACGGGGATTAGAGGTGTGTGCTACCACACCAGGTGAGAATTAATCTTTTCAGAGGAGAAATTAATATTTGAAAGCCCTTTGTCAGACTTCTAGTTCCAGATGAAGATGAAATAGTTAAGTTTCTTCCAATTCTTCTTGCTAAGTACCACTAAAAATACTGAACATTATGTATACAACCAATATAAGCCTGAAAAGTGGAGAAAAGGCAGACTAGCTAGGGATGTTGAGATCTGAGGAATGACATGGCAGTGAGTTATCTGGGTTTGTTTTTGTTCCATATATCCTAGAATGGGAGAAATCCATAATCCAGAAGCATAGGAAACCAAACCAAATTAATTGAAACCAAACCAAGGAAGGAAAACAAAGGAAAGGAAGGGAAGGGAAGGAAAGGGGAGGAGAGGGGAGGGGAGGGGAGGGGAGGGGAGGGAAGGAAGCAGAAAAGCACAGAGATAACTGGCTTTATTTAGCAAGGGGCAGCCTAGCAATTACCACCCACTGCAACCAAAGCCAGAGAGAACATCACAGCCCCATCCTCTCCTATCAGCCCAAGCCAAGTGGGAAATCCAGATGTCTACTTGCAACTAGATACAGTGAGATGCCTTCTCACCTCTCAGCTCTGGGGTGGTGTTAGAGAACTCCAAGTGGGAAGCCAGGACTTTCACCCCCTTCTAGTAGTAATAAGCACCCCACCACCAAGGTTTCATTGGAAGTTACATGGGGAACATAAAAAAGCATCTTCTCCCCCACATACAGGTGACAACAGAGGACTAGCTAGAACTCCCACCATCCAAAGAGTAATGAGGTACACTTGTTTAGCCCCTCAAGTGTGTCTGTAGAGGCAAAGTAGGAAACATATACTTTTGTCCCATACCTGGCAGAGAGGGGGAAAAACATGACCTAAACACATGCTGCACTTTCTCCAAAAGCTAAAATCCCACTTAGTAGCACTCCTGGATATTCCAGACAAGTGGACAGTTCTATTCAGTTTATACAAGTGTCCATAGCAGGCTTATCTAAGTACAAAAAACCCTGGAAGTGTCCCTTATAAGCGAAGGATTATCTCAAAAGAACATATACTATATTATTTCATTTATATAAAGTTCTGGAAGTGATAAAATTATAAAGATAGAAATTAGTTAAGGACAAGAGTTAGGGATGGTGCTCGTTGGAAAGGTATGGGTGTAAGGGATCACATGAGGAAGATCTTTGTGGTGATGGAATAGTTGTGCATCTGTGTGGTGGTGGTGTACATAACAGTC